TTAATTCATTAACAGATTGATAGAATGGTCGATTGATAAATTGATTGACTGATTGTTCAGATTGATGGATCGGTTGGTTGATTGATTGATTCATTTATGGGTTTATTGGTAGATTGATCAGTTGATTCATTTATTGGTCAAGATTGATCGATTTGAGTGGTTGACTGATCGATTGATTGATTTAATTTTAAGACTGATTGATTGGCCAATTAATGGATGGATTAAATGAATGTTTGATTGATCAGTAGATTTATTGGTAAACTAAAATCTGTTCAGTTTAGCTGATCCATATGTACTCTCTGAGAACTGAAAACAGTTTAAAGATGCAGAAGACGTGGATGATGCTGATGATGTTTCCATGGTGACTGAGTGAGAAATAACATCACGACATTAGCAACAATTACCTGCAGAACCTCAAGCAACTGTTTCCATGTAATTATACACACTCAAAAAGTAACTAATTAGTCTAATATGCTGCAATTAACACATATATTTATAAAAGCAGATAAACAGATGCTATATTCCAGAGATGAGCATTTAGAGTCATTTTATTCTGGTTAAAGAAAGGCCCCAGAGGTTCATCATGTGCACAGACCGTCAAACTGCAGTAAGAGAAATGACATCTTTATGATTGTAGCATTTATCAGAAACTAATACATCAGAGCTATGACAGTCGTGATCCTGTGATTAATCTATGATGTTATGAAACTGGTATCCGGCCATTTATTTTTCCTGTCAGTGATGGTGATGATAATCTCCTATGGTTGTTCGTAGTAGAACCATTTATCAGCTGGAGAGAGTGAGAGAGAGAGAGAGAGAGATAAAAAAATATTAAATGAATGAATAAATGTAATCAATAAATAAAGCATTAAATAAATAAAAATCGACTAAGTAAATAAAAGTAAATAAAATAAAACAATTAAACATTACATAAATATTAAAGAATAAATCAATAAATATAATATAAATAAATATAGATAAAATATTAAATTAAATGCATAAATATTAAATAAATAAAAACATAAATATAAATAAATAATTGAATGACATATTACATAAACAGTACATAAAGTAAATGAATGAATAAATATAAAATAAATGAATATATAAATAATTTTTATTCTTTTTTTGTTTAATTAAATTTTAAATAAATAAATGTGAGGAAATTACATTTAAATATTACATAAATATTAAATAAATGAGTAAACAATAAACAAACAAATTAAATCAATGACGAAATAAATATAAAATGAATAAATACATAAAATTTTGAATACCTGAATATTTTGAAATTTTACATGAAATAATTATAAATAAATGGAAGTAAATAATTCCAATTTTTTTTACATAAATATTAAATAAGTGGATAAATCTAAAAATGTATTTACAAAACAATATTTAATAAATAATTACAAAATAAATAAATAAAAGAATACATAAATATTAAATGCATAAATATTAAATAAATAATTATAAATAACTATAAATAAAAACAGTTAATAATTCGTTTAATTTTACATAAATATTAATTAAATAACTAAATAAATATAAATAATTATATTATTTATATGATTCAATAAATATTACATAAACATTAAATAACTAAAATATTAAATTAATAAATATTTAATAAAATGAATACATTAAATATTAATTGCATAAATATTAAATAAATAT